ATCTCTTCTAGCCATAATTTATTGCAATGTAGGAAAGGATCACTGCTAGACCATGGTGGTTATTTTAATCCCCACTACTTGAGTTTAGAGACTTCTCTCATACAGGTAGGATCTGTACAAAAATCAATTTCTTTTGAGGCACAGAAAGTATTATGAGAGAAGAGGTAAGATTTTTACCTGGAGATGGAGAAAATGGAAGGGAGGAAATGCAAGCCCAACATACAAGATTCACAGAGTACCCTGCAAGTCCAGTCCCACTTAAATTGTCCTGAGATCTTTGAAGAGAGACTCATCTTGTGTGTGGGCAGGGGTGAAGGCTGCTCGCACAATAAGAGAATCACAACCTCTCATATTTGGGATCCTTGCATTTTTCTGGTGACCATTATGAGGAGGCCTCCCTGGGTCCACAGTCTCAAATGAAGCCACCTTGTCACCTACCTATATCTTGCCTGATCTTATGCATGCCCATATATTATACCCACTTGTCTAGTTTGGCAGTCTGATCAACATGAATAGAAATATGCCCTACTCCGACTGTCAGGATTCTGCCACTGACCTTTGCTTTTCTTCTTAATGAGCTGACTCAGTGGATAACCAGAGCCCACTCAGCCCAGGCCATACTTTGCTTTGCCAGCAAATAGCGTATATACCACACCTTCTTATAACCATTTCCAGTAAAATCTTCCAAGCTTACCTGTATTTGGGTTCACATCATGTCAAGACATAGTAATCACCACAGACACCACAAGCGCTACAGCTTCTATGAGATATAAAAGTAATGCATGGTCCAGCTTTTACTCAGATAACACTTCTGCCTCATTGCAGGTTTACTGTGGGAAAGACGGTTTGTGGTGCTACAGTCCATCTGATGGGTCTCATCCTCCAAATTAATAGAGATGCCCAATTTTCAGGTTGGACCTCGCCATGTGAATTCCCTAGGCTGAGGTTATATCTTCTCATCAACTAGTGTTTTCTGTACACGGAGCCATTGCAGGGCAAGGAGGGATGCATTGTCATTTTTACTCTGGGAGCAATTTGACCATTATAATAAAGGCTGCATGAGTAATTTCTTCTAATCTAATCATGTACACTCATGCTCAACATTTTGCAGCTTTCATAATTCAAGGTAAACTCTTCTGATTTTTGCCCCGAAGTGTTTTGTTTTTCATTTGAAACTCTGGGGGGGGGGGGGGGGGGGGGGAGGAGTGTCAGTTAAACCACTTCTGAGCAAAGGACAATGATACAGAGGAAAAGCTTCCCATTATCTTTTTAAAAAAAAAATCCAGAAAAACTTAGTTGCAAACTTTTTGGAGGAGATCAGTTGACAATGCATTTGTACTGAAATGTAGCAGAGTACTAACCCCCTTTTCAGGGATGTGCTTTAAGAGCTTCCCACTTGGAATTTAATCTACATTTGGCCTAAATATGATTCTTTGAAAATCTTATGCCATACATGTTCTGGTCATGGTGCATGAGGCTAAGGGAGGTTGAGCTGTACATAATCTATGTAAGGCTCTTGTACCACAGCTTGGGTCAGCCCTGCCAGGCTCAGGCAGACTCCTGCCCTGAAGCCCTTGTTATGTCTCCTGACTCAGTTACTATGAATTAAGTCCAGCTGGCCCCAGCCCTTCCCTCTGATTGGTTCTGGGGCCGCATTTAAGGACCTTCTGATCCTGACTTAGTTTACTCTTAGACTTTGCCCTGTGGATTATCCTTCAGACTTAGTAACTAGGTTTCTGATTTCTGGATCCTGACCCTGGCTTGGCATTTTGGCTCCTGACTTGTTACTTCTGCCCCTTACCCCTGTAACACCCAGTTGTACACCTGTCTTTACCCACTAGGCTGGCTGGCCTGGGGGTCATGACAATCAATATATCAGTGCACTGGAAGCAGTTAGGCCACTTGGGTAACCAGGGCCATCTAGGGGCAATTTAACTTGCTTGCTGACCTGACTCCTGACACATACAGTCATATATAAACTGCTCCCATTTCTGAGTGCACAGGCTCTTTTCTTTTCTGCTGTCATATCTCCGTTGTGACTATAGCAACTGCTGAGTTGTGGTAATAATGTACCCAGTAGGAAAGTTTCACACTCTCAACATGAAAAGCTTATTTTTCTAGTTACACTAGGGAAAGTATATTGCAGCACAAGACAATCTGTTAAAAAATGCAACCTGTCCATATGTAAGCTGGGCCTTTCTAGCTCCTTCCCATTCCTCACTGAACTCTGGTTTTGAATGGTATAGCAGGACTCTATAAACTGGTGAGTCAGCCTTCTGGGTCAGAAAAGAACACAAAAAGAACCACAAAAGCTCCGGGGTCAGGAGAACTTCCTGCAACACCACTCAGGAGGAATGAGGAAACCTCGTTTTTTTCCTTAGCTCTTTGGACATTGCTCAGGTTCCTGGTTCATACTCAGGATAAGGGTTAAAGTATAATCGGGCGCAAATTACCATGAAAAGGATGATTCAGCCCTCTGCTCTCAATAGCCAACATGTTTTCCTGAACAGAACACAAAATTGCTCAGATTAATAGGGAATCTTAAATTGTTTAGGACTTCATTTAATGGTGTCAGGAATATCACCTGTTGTTGAAAAGACTGGGGTTGAGTTATTCTTACATACTAGTTGTCCAGCAAAGACAGTTTTGTGCAAGAGAGGCTTGAATGACTTGGATATGATATGTCTATGACACAAGTGTTGCGCTCCTATGCCTGTGTTATTCCTGTGACAGCCCCAGTATTCTTCTACTCAAAGCCTGATTCCCAATGTACCAACATATAGTCCCAGCCCCTCCAATCATCAACAGAGTCAAACAGAACAGGTTCAGTAGCCTGACAGAATTGGGACAAGGAAAAACAGTATTGCTTCAATCACATGGTTAAACATACCAACTCGGTGAAATCAAAAGAAAATGTTATTGTTAATAATGATTAAATAATGAACTTTGGATGAACTATCACTCAGATAAAATACACAGGCTGCTGTAAGCTGTATCAACAGAACCTTAGTTTAAATGAGTCACGGGACAGTGATTCTGCTCTGCACACTTCCTGCACTGGGTGCAATGCCCAGTTGTTTCACTAGCCCTTCTGGTCATATGACCAGTGTGGCTAGTGAGACACATTGGGACCCCTTGGAAAAAATCTACTCATTGGGACTCTCCTATCATTTTGAACCATGGGTCATTTAGCAGGACCACCATTTTGGATGGCCAAGATTAGGACCATTGGGGGTGGGGCTGCCGCCCAGACATCTTGCACACCATTTGGCTGCCTGACATGCTTATAGTGCCAAGCATTTTGGTGACTCCAGCATCTGTAATATCCCCCCTGCAGAATGCAAGTAACTGAAGTCAATACAAGCTTGCTGATCTACAGCTCTCAGACCCTTGCAATAACAACTCCAGTATCCTAGATCTACCTTGCCTCTCCTAAATCATCTTTTGCATCATTAATACCAATTAATTACTTTGTACTATACTGGCACCTACAGGATCCAGCTCAGGATAAATCTATACTGCACAGTGTAGCTTACGTTGAGTATGAGTACTCCTGCAGCAAAACATTACTGTGGCTTGTAACAGGAAGACAGAGGCTTCTGTTACTTTAAGAGGATAGTGCAGCAGGCTAAGCTTTTGGTGTAGGCAGGCAGCTGGGCAAAATCTAGCTGCGCTGCAATAAGCAACTAAGGGGATGATGTCCAGGCAGCTAGGAGGTAAAGACTGCAGGAAGCTGGGTTAGGCAACAGCAGAGAAGGGCAGGCTGGCCTTCAGGCAAAAGGGCAAATCGCTGTGTCTTTCTGGGAAGCTACTTGACTGGAAAGGGTGGTGGTTTATATACAAGACCAGTGCCTGAAGCAAGGTGGGGAATTTGGTCTGGCATGCTGCAGGGATAGAAGCTCCTTGGGGGAGATGGCCATAGGAAACAAGCTACCCAACAGAGCTTGAAGGAGAAGCTATGGGAGAAAGTACAGCTTGTGATATGGCATTTGCCCAGAGTAAGGGTGAACTTTCCATTTGGAAATGGATTGCTTGTATTTGTGTTGTGTTTAAAACTGCAACCAGACAACTGGGTTGTGAATGGAGGGGAGGACTGGAGGCCATGCAGGGAGGCTTGGGATGTACTTTGGGTTCTGAGCCCCAAGAAGGTGCAACAGGGGCAGGCTGAAGCCATGGAGCCAAAGCTTGTGCCCCCAGGGCAAGACAGGGAACATGTGAGAACTGAGAGGACCAGAACCTGTGCCATGAGAGACAGTGAGGCATGACCAAGAAGAGACTGAGAAATCAGACCAGAGCAAGTGAACTGAGGCTTGAGTCCACAGCAAGAACAATCAGCAGGCCAAAGCCGAGAGGGCTGAAGTCTTTAGTGATGACTGGGAAAGCTTGGCCAGACCTACACATGAAATTTAAATGACCACACTAAAAGAACAACAGTGCATCTTGCACAAGAGTGCAAGATTGTGACTAGGACCATGAGAAATAAAGCAATCCCAATTGGTTTAATCTCCTGTGCTACTTGCAAATGTACCCAATGTTTTATTATGCTAAACCATTAAACAATAACTACCTATCTCTATTTGACTGTACTCACCTTGTTGACACATCCTGCCTTGATTAAGGCATATTTATCAGAACAGGCATTCAGTGCTCTCTGGGGTTTTGCACGTCTTCATAGACCATCACTAGTGCAGACTATTGTATTAACAATGGGGCAGAATCTACAACTACCCAAAGACAGTGTCCTGTGATCAGTGCCCCAAGGTATTCCGTTCAGTTAATCAAGACCCATCCCATTTGATTGAAGTGTAACCTCTGTACTGACCAAACACTTGCAAAAACAAGCTTCACACCTGGATAACCCATAACAGGATCTGAGCAGTTAGCAATTATAATATGATGGTGCCTTCCTACCTTGCTTTGTTCATACTTTAATTGACCAACTATCAAGGAGGAATGCTTTTAAGTTATACAATTGAACAGTATAAGAATGAAACAGAGTTACCAGCAAAGTGTGCTCTCTAGGGGAGAGAAAGAAATCATTCTGCACCCAAATGATCACTCCTGGATGACGGATCCACGCTCAGTGAAGGCTGGCAAGACTGAAAACCGCTTCCTGCTTGCACTGGTGAGAGACACTTCTGCAGCTATCATATACTAGGACTTTTGTGATAGTTCATTTATTGAACATTGGGAAGGAGTCTTTTTTCTGTCATTGAGTTGTCTAATTCATTTGTAGCATAGTTGTTAAAGCCTTTCTGTCATTAATCGAATGAGGTGTCATGTCAATCCTTAACTGCATTAGGTTCAAATCCTGCTTTTGACTGCAATAGTACAGGCTGGTGCTTGGATAGAGAGTAACATCTGTGAAGCATGGGCATGACTATAGGGGAGGACAGAGACCACAGTTACAGCCAGTAAGGTGACTGGTGTCCTAAAGCACTGATAGGACTAGGAGGGACACAATTTAGTGCTGAGGGTAAGAGTGGTGCCAGTTGGGCATGTGAAATACCAGACAGCCAAAGGACTGAGGCTTACTCTGGGACCCTGGGGCAGCCTTCCCTAAGTATTACAAGATCCATCAAGGTATGGTAGATGAAGTAAAAAGGGGAGGATACCCCAAAGAGTCAGAGTGGGGCAGCAGCTGCTTGGCCACCAGAAGGTGTCACGGCCACCCTCAGGGCCAAACCTACTACATGGCCTCATTTTTGCTTTATTTGTCCATGTTTAGCTTATGGGTGCTTTGTGCTGATCTAGGATTCCTTCTAAGTGAATTGTGGGAGAACTTGTTTATGTGTTGGGGTGAAAACTGCATGAAAGGCATAAATAATCAGGTGATCTTACCTGCATCTTCACTGCAAACTGGGCAGGTACCATCCTGAGCTAAAGCACAGCTGAAGCTTTTGACCACATGCCCAGCATTGCAAAACAAGGGCTGTGTGTATGGATGGTACAGGAATTTGGGAGGAAAAAAACCCATATTGGAACACAGGTGAGGACCACAGTGTAACAGTATCCTGAAAGTGAGGCCTCATCTAGGCACTGTAATATTCACAGTAAAAAATAATTTGCCCTGAAGAGCTTCAATTTAAATAAACAAGACAGACAAAGGGAGAGAACGGCTAGGTCAATGGTTCCCAAACTCTAACAGATTGCACACCACCAATTTAAAATGACGCAACCTTTACCACAGCCAAGTACCACCAGCAAATTTTTGTCATATAAAATAATTATCATAAATCCATTAACATATACCACTGACAGGTTGTCTGCATACCACTGGTGGTACCCATACCACAGATTGGGAACTGCTGGGATAGGTGATTGTTTCATGGTCAAATAGCAGGCATAGACAGACCTGGGACTAGAAACAAAGTCTGTTATTTACCAGCCTAGTGGGCTACTCACTGGATCACACTCCCATTGCCCTAGCGCAGCTATATGAGGTCATGACTCAAATAATTGACAGTAAAAGCCACCATTTCAAATCTGGATACAAATCTTTTCATGTAGGGTTGTATTCAGACATACACAACTTATCCCAATTCATTGCTGGCCTGTGTGTATGAAGCCCAGCACCCAGACATAACCCCAACAATAATAAACCAACATATGTGAACCTGGTATTCACAAACAGCAAATGGTGCAGCCTAGCACTCCAAAACAGCTCTTCAATAAGCAGTGAATGTGCCTGGTTAAGTGTTCACAAGTGAGTTTATACAAAGAAACCAGGGTTTTTGGACGTGTGTTGTGTTTTTGGATTACCCTGAATTAGCAAACTTGCCCAGGCAGCCTCTGCTCTCCCAAAAAACCCTGCAATAACAAACAAAGAGTGCCCATATGAGATATCAGGCACTGAGTAAGGAATATTTTTTGTTGCAAGTTTCCAAACAGTTATTTAGAAAGGAAAGTGCTAATGGAAATGATGGAAAATCCCATTTCGGCTCCTGTTCCAAGGAACAGTGTTTTCTGTCCTGTCTTTTCTCTCATTTCAGAATCTCTGAGGCCAGTAACAATAAGAACATCAGCCTTGGGTCTGACAATGATAAATGAAGTGATGAAGAATGAAAGGCATGTTTAAGGCAATTACACATGGGAGCTGTTCAAAGAGGATCTAGGAATTTTACTGGCATTTGTCTTTGGCTGGACAATGCTGTTAGCCTCTCCCTTCCACGCTCAACTTCTAACGCCTGCAAGGGGTCAATCAGAGTGAATCAGGCTTAGTCAGTGTCTAGTATACTTTAATGAGATTTTCCATGTGCTCCGTTTCACCTGCCTCATGCCATTGGGCTGTTCAGCTAATAGCCTCTTGCCTGACCAGAAGTTACAGGATGCATGAGAGCTGGATATGACATTGCTACAGCAAAGATCATTCTGGGATGGACTGCTTGTATGAGCATATGCACTGCTGGTGCTCAGGTCTGAGCATAGGGAAGGGTCTGCTTTGATAAATCAGAGTACATTCCAGGGGTAGAGGTGAGAGAGTTCGTAAAAGGGATTTTCATCTTCTTTGAGTGCAGGGGGCCCAGGTGATACCTTTACTTGGTGGATCAAGATGAGAGGGTGTGATATAAAACCTTAGGGGCCCACCCAGCTGGTAGTCTGTCTCTACACCTTGGTTGTAGCTCTTCAGAAGTGTCCAGCGGATCCCTTTAAGCCATTCAGGTGAGACCTTCATGAAACGCTATGCATCAGTTTGCACACTCATTTCCTTTTCTACCAGCTCACCCATTCCTTTCCTCATGCCCTGACCTGGTAACCACTACCTCTCGCTTTTACTCAACTACCTTATCACTTACCTGTCTATCCAAAAGTCCTCCTGATGCTGAAATAACAGTGTGTACCCAAGGACCTGCAGTGGTTTAACCAAACTGATTTACATTCATACCAGATTCTAATTTGTGTTAAGTCCATGCTATGCTGCTCTGGCAATCCTGAGCATTCACCCCCTCCACTTATGCTGGTGCAACCCTGCCCTTGCCTGCATTGCCCCTACCAATTATGCACATTGGCTGCTGCACTCCTGGCTCTTTTCACCAGCTCCAGAGCTTTGCTGACACTATTGATACATTAGTGCACCAACAAGCAGACAAAACAAGGATGCTGACTTGTGTCCCCTCTGGCCCTGTTTATATATAATAAGAATGACTCAAGACTAAAAATGCTTTGGCTGTAAGAATAGAAGGGGCCAAGCCATTTTCAAAATCTACTTTGGAGAGAGTGTTTGATTCCTGGTGGCATACAATGCCTACGTTCTACAGCCGATGCCGTTACCTTTGAATAAATACATTCTTCCCTACCTATTTCCCTATGATAAAGCTGTCATCCACGTCTTCTTTATCTGTGCAGAGAAATTAAAAGGAGTCTTTTCTCTTCATTATGATCTCTCATGCAGTGTAAGCCCACGTTCAGTAAAAGACCAGCGGCAAAGCTTTCCAACAATTTTCACAAAGTATATAGAAAACCCACTTCACCTACCTGTGGCAACCAAACTCACGTTGTTCTTACAGTTTGGCTACATGGGAGCCTAGATTAATCAGTATTCTAGGTAATACCAAGCAAATGAGATTGACAAACAAGCCGCTTTGCTTCAAACTTCCCACATAACACATTCCAAGAAGAATTACAAAATCTCAATAGGAATCCACTGAACTGATACCAGTGCAAAGAGGCTGCTTCCCTAGTGTTTCTGATGATATCTGAAGATCTTTCTATTTACAAAAAGGTGGAGTTTGACCTTAAATTCGATTTTAAAATATTTACTGTGGCCCAGATCCACAGGTGATATAAATCAGCCTAGCACTGACTTCAATTGATCAGCATAAATGTACACCATTTGAGAATGTGGCCCATTCACATCTGTACTAATTTACACCAGCTGAGGATCTGGCCTGTTTAACTCTTTTTTCTTTATCTTACTCCCTAGACCTTTTTCCCTAGCATACAAATTCTACCTGTGACCTGCCTCCCAGATACCTCCGGCTTAGTCAAGAGCCTTTCCATGGGAAAACAGTTACCCTGATGTCTGACAACACCTCCTTTTTCAACAAAGAATTACTTGTTGTCACTGCAGGATTTAAGCTCCTCTTTGCTGATACCATCTTAAGAATGTATGAAACACTTTACCTTTAAGTCAGTTCAAAAAGACAGAGCAGTCCAAATTGCAAGACAAGAAAGAGAAATGATAACACTATCAGATGAACTCTACCTCTTCATCAGAGGACTAGGCTAATATAAAATAGTTCAAAAACTCCACATCAGAATAAAAAAGAACATAAAACTATCAAAAAAAAAGTTCTGGGATAAGAGGGATAGGAAAAAGTATTAAAATATGGGGGTCAGGTAGTTTAGGCCTGAAGGGTAGGCAAAAGAAAGGCACAGTGGCACCTTAGAGACTAACTGGTTCAGAGAGTCATGAGCTTTTCTAGGTAACCACCTATTTTGTTAGATGCTATGAATAGACTACTGGTTGTCGCTTAAGAAAATGCATGGCTTTCTGAACCAGTTAGTCTAACGTATCACCCTGCTCTACCTTCTGCTTGACTTCAGACTTCAGCCCAACACTGTGATTTTGGGGTAGGAAAACAGACAACGTGTTATAAAACCTACAGTCAAAAGAAATCATTTGCACTTTTAGCATTTTGTAAGGGAAATAATTGGCTTGGACTGAACCCATCCCTGGGAGTGTTTGCAAACCAAACATTGCAGGGTTGGCAAGTACTTGAAAATCAAAACTTGAAACTGATCTAAAACAAAAGCAAAACTGACTGGTCTATGACCATCGATGCAGAAAGAAACCATTTTAATTATCCTGGGGATTATGGATACCACAGCTGAATAAATCATTTTTTAAAAAACATCTAGTATAAAAACTAGTTTAAAAACTAGTGATGCGCTTTTCTGTTGAATAAGAATGTAAATAAAAAATAGAACCAAAAACACAAATAAAAGTGGGTTAAACCTGGAAATGTCTTTCAAAACCTTCCTAGTCACACTGAATAATTCTGTTTTACAAAGTTTACATTTATGTTTTGTTTGCCACTGAAGTGTCTGAGACTCCATATTCAGCCACATATAGCATAGACAGAGCCTAGCATTAGCCACCTGCTGAAGTTTTAGATACACGCAGGTATTTTTCAGAGCACTTACAGAGATTACCGCTCAGTTGCTGGCAGACAGTGTAAAGTGTCTTACGTTTCTCAGCTGCAGGTTGGCTGCTGTAATCAACAGGAGACAACACCCAGTTTAATTGACTGTAAGGGTGTTTACATAATGCTAATAATATTCGGCAACACTTACATAATACTTTAGAGATCTTTTTAAAAAATACCGCACTTGCACTAACTGAAACATGCTTAAAACACTGCTGTGATATATAGAGAAAAAGCTGATGAACTCCATTTTACAGAAGGCAAAATTGAGACCTAGAGAAGTTCAAGGACTTGCCTAGATGGAACCCCGGTCTGCATTCAAAACCCCTATGTTGGTTAGGGGTGTGAATAAATACCACCCCCTAACCACCATGGGCTTGCCATTTAATGCCTTTATTTAAACACACAGCTACACAAGTCTTTTTCTGGTGTACCTTATTCTCATTGGGAAATTGGTGCAAGTGGCATACATATATATGTATATCCACTACAAGAGTTTGATGGTACAAATACTGGGAAACCCAATCTAGGACAGGCAGTTCTGAGTCAGTGATGGAGCTAGAATTAAAACCCAGGATTTCCTAGCATGTGATCCTGTCTTCCATCCACTGAACTTCACTGTTCCCCTCATAAAAATATGGATCACATTTGAAGTGGTGTGTAATTCTGTTACTGGTTTATTATATGCAACTGTGTGTGTGTGTGTGCGCGCGTGTGTGCGCGCACGCACACTTGTGCGCGCATGCCTGTGTGTAATTTCAAATAATATCCAGCATGTTCCCTGGTGAGAAATACGTTTCGCTCACGATACATCCCAGAACCCTGCAGCAAACCAACCAGTTTTCAAGTGAGATCTAAACAAAAATATAAATCTTCTGCCTGCTAATGAGTGGCTGTCTGGATACAGACTTTAAAGCCAGCAGGTGTGTCCATCAGTCACACTTAAGCACCATGTCACTCAGTGCTGTGCACCTCTGCAACCAGATGTAAGGTCAGTCACCTCAGACTCTTCTTTAATCAGCTGGCTTCACTGAGAAATTTGATAAGAGGGGGCAAGGTTATGGGACTCAAGTCTCATTGGTGGCCTCTGACAGCTCCCCTTTAACTAATGAGCACGCAGTATAGAAGAGGTTGGGTAGAGAAACTTGCTTCGCCACCTCGATAGTGCACAACTTCACTGCATGCTGCATTTCATTTGATTCATGAGGTCTGCTGGGCCAGAACAGTTGTTTGAACTGAATGCTGGCAGCTGTCTCCACTATGACTAGCCAGATTCTTGTCTACTTAACTGCAGAGAACTCAGTGGAGTTGCACCAAAAATGAATTTAGTTCACTGAACTTTGGCAACAATTGCATGTCATGATTAGAGTGTCCTGGATCCTTCACTTTTAATTCTTCTGTAGGTGCCTTAAGCCCAGTATTTAAGAGCCACTGGCATTCTCAAAACCACCACTTTGCTACCCCCTAATGCTGCAGGCGCCTAGTTTTCTGACTTGTGACATGTGCATCTGTCCTGGTGGTCTGGGAACTCATTTGGGATGTGGGTGACCTCAGTTCAAACCCCTGCTCTTCCTACTTTGTAGCAGATGAATTATGAAATGCCAAACTATGGGGTGTTCTGGGCTGAGACTTCCCTGGGGGAGATGCTCTGCTTTGTATATCCACTGATCAGAACAGGCCTCGATTCCGACGCTCCCACATTCCAGGTAAGTGCCCTCACTGCTGGTCTACAGCGTGAATGATTCCATCATGCCCAGGGCAGCTCTTCTCTATCTTCCTCCCTCCCTGTGGGTGAAGGGACTCTTTTCTCTCTGCTCTTCCTTCCCCAGTCTTGTCCTTCCATGCAATGCCAGGCCTGAGAAAGAAGCTTCTGGAGCTACAGGAGGTGAGGCAAAGGGGAAGAACTGATGTGGGCAAAATCAGCACACGGAATCTGGGCAGATATGGCAGCCGAATTAACTGGTAGGCAGTGGGGAGAGGCGACTACAGGAGCCAGAACCACATGACTACATCTGACAGAGCTGGTGACAATAGGACACACGCTTGCAAGGAGAAAAATCAGAAAAATTAAAACACAGATCAAAAATACAACCTACCATCTCATTTTAAAAAGAATGCCTTATGATTTGTGCATCATTATTTTTTAACCTTTTGGGGGGTAGCAAATACAGGATGTTAGAGACTTCAGATCTCCCATCCAGACGCTGTCCAGGCCTGATCCTGCTTAGTAAGCGAGATCTAATATTGCACACCATTTGGGGTACATCCAGACATCTTACATTCCTTTAAGAGCCTGACTGATATTCACTGCTTAGCTTGGAGCAGTTCTTCCTTATTTTGAAGCCCAAACCCAATTCAACTCCTAATTATGGTCTGTTGACAGGGAGCAAATAAAAACCAAGCTGCCAGGAACTGTCTAAAATAGTCCTCATACAATGTGCTTGCTTTCCGTCTTATTTGCCTTGCACAATTACTTTCTGACTGGGCTTATACCTCATGGAATCTGTTAGCATTTTAACATCCTAACCCGCAGCATACTGATTTAAACTTGTGTTTGGAAGGCATCGTGCTTATCCGTTGTGTCTGCAAGATTCCTTCACATTGGGAAACATTGGGAAAACGTTCTAAATGGGAGGATCCAAAAGAGGCACTCGAGAACATGATTTAACCAGAGAAAAACTGAAGCAGTTTAAAGCCATGGTTTCAGACCCCAAAGTTTTCTTTAAAAAATAATCTGAAGATCACACATATAGTTTAAAACCAAGTACAGTATAGCTCTTATTTTCTGAACATCAGTTATCCAAAACTAGGGTATGCCTCTTGGTTATAATCACATTCAAAATTCTGTACATTATCTGCACTTATTCATGGCAGTCATATGGTCAAGTGCTGCACAGCTCAGCACCCACTTAGTCCATCCAGTATTTTCCCAACCCCCTCAACCTCATATGCCCCCTCCTTCAATACTCATCTGTGTGCCTGCTTCAGCAGGGCCCCTAGGGCTTCATACCATATCCCTGGTCTTGTGCGTCAGCATTTTTCACTGCCTGTCTTCACACAAATTTCTGTGTGAAGTCTTTCATGTCCCTCCTCAGATACATTATTGTTTCAACTTTGTCCATGAGCTCTGACCAAACATAGAATGTGTAAAAAAAAAATTAAAGACAGTACGTTTAAAAATATTTACCAGCAGAAATATGCAGTGCTAACCAAGATCCAAGAAGAGCAATTAAGCAATAAAGAGCTGTTCCCAGCCCCCTCTGTCCACAGAAATACTCTTCCTTAGGGGATTGAGGGATGTCTTTTTCTCAATCCTTCCTTTCTCCACCTACAATTTTTCAGATGGTCTTGTTTTAATTTAGGGGTTTAGGAAGCTGAAGGCCCTCAACCCCTTCTAGGGTTCACTTCTTAGTTGTAAATTCCAGTGGGCAGGGGTAATGGGCTCAATTTTCTGTTCCAGGATAGCTCTGCTGAATGTAGAAACAAAGAGTAGGGGGAAAATATGGAGGAAGGTGGATTAATATTAACTGCCTTGTTTGGAGAAGGCTGCCTTGTGTTGCTGCAAACTTCTGCAACTGCATAGCTGTTAAAGAGGTGAAGTCTATCAGGAGTTAAAGTCCTTTTGGACTTGTTGAAGGAGCTAAGGTAACAGAAGAAACTGAAGCCCAGTTCAGTTGTGGAGTAGGGGAGTCTTTGGGACTCCCCTGTGCAGAAGAGGAAATCTAGGGATTACCATGGAAAAAGATGCAGTCCCTGGAAGACTGTAAAAAGATTGGAGGCAAACTTCCTCTGTGGCTCCATGACAAGGCTTCTGGGCACTGAGATAATATAAATACTGAATAATGACAGCAATAATATGGCCTGTTCCCCCTAGAACAAACAGAAAAAAACCCCAAACCAAAAACCCAGGGGAACAGAGAAGAATACACTTATGAAAGACAAGGTTAAAATCACTAATGGAAACTTCACAGTTATTTGGAAAGAGACTAGCTCAAGAATTCAGCCACGGAGAATTCAGGACCTTTTGGAGGCGTTAAAAAATAAAAAGCAGAGAACATCTGTAATTTTCCAATGTAGATTATGGAAGACCCAGAGTCAGCTGTGACAAGAATGATAACAGCACAGTGGTTTGTTTTCTTTATTTTACCCTTGAGCAGATAACCTTTCATATTTTAGTAGAGCAGTCTATTTTTTAGACACACTGATGATATTTTTCACTATATTGCAAAACTTCCCCTTCTCTCCTCTCTGGGAACAAATCCATCCATATCATTTGACCACAGCATAGTTTCAGAGAGAAGGCTGCAAAGGCCAAAGACATGGCATTTTGTGAGGGACTCTCAAGTATGATAATATACATCATATGCATTGAAAGCTGGCTTGCCTCTAATAATAACGGACAGCGTACTGAGTTGGGAAGGAGGTGGAGTGGGATGCTACTGGGAAGTTCTCAGATACAGTGTTGATGTGGGGAGTTATAAAAGAACACAGACAGATAGATGGTGTTTGGCCATGTATGTATTAGTAATCCAGAAGATCACTTCTGGGCACCTCGTTACTAGAAAGAGTGAATACATGTTAAGTGTGATGGCTGCCCATTGGGGATGTTATGATCACAAGGTGGGATTTCTGAAAATGCCTAAAGAAGCAAGGCACCTGACTCCTATTGAAATTCAATGGGAGTTGGATGCCTAACACTTTTAAAAGCTTTTTAAAATCTTACCTAGCGGCTACAAATATTTGAAGAAATAAAAAGTGCTGTGAGGGAGCACAGCTAGAAATAACAGGATAAAAATGTTTAAAGCGATATTTAAAATGAAGAGCAAGAAAATCTCCTTCAGATGGAGCTCCTTTAGGCTGCTAAGCAGAGGAATGGTGGAACGTCAGAGCCTGTGATATTTCAAATTAGAGTCAAGAAAGAGCTTGTGATGTGGTTTTTAGCCTTCTCCAAAAGGTGTTCTCTACTTTCTCTCATCTTGTTTTACATAGTGAAGTCATGTGCTTAGGGAGTTTTGCACTTGGAAGAAGGGAAAGTAGACCTGCTAGTGAAGTAAATTATCATCCTGGCTCTGACCATACTACTTAAGGGCAGACAGCACCCTTGTAATGTAATTCTAGACCAGCCCACTATAAACAGCAATAAAAACCTAACGTGTGAGGATCAGTGAAAAACGCAATACTAAAATACATGGAAAACAGAGAGGTCAAACAGTTTTAAAAGCCACTACAGAATGACTCAGTGCCCAGTGAACTTGAGCCCACCTATTCCATACCACAGTTCCAGTTATACATTAACATTTTCAATCACTTCCTAACGCTTGCCTTGATGCTCCTGCCTACTGAAAAAGCATTTCAAAGAGCACTACACCAAAGGTATGTCTTGATAATACCTTTCTGCCAAGCAATCTAGCTTCAGCGTGAAAGATTCCTTTCCTGAACCTCCTTATGTCACTGATGCCAGCACATGACAGCACCTCCACCTCTCCCACTGTAAACTGTAAAATCCTAACAAACATTCTACAGTCTTTGATCCTGGGAAACTGTAAACAGTCCTCTGAATTGCCATGCACTCAGCTATCAGTATTTCTAAGTAATGACTCCTATCCCCACCCCCGTTTTGCCTCTCTTCCTTCCTTTGTTCTTGTGAAACCTAGATCCCCTGCAGACACTAGGTGGTTCTTCCAAAAGTTCAGAACTGGTCTATAAGTGAAGTGAGAGTCAGATTCTCAAAATCCCCAATCCAGGATGCTGCCAACATGGGAAATGCCACTTGTGAGGATCAAGAATGGGCACGCTGATACTAATTATATCAGGAACTACAAGCTATGGGCCTTTTTTAAACAGCTCAGAGTGCAAAAGACTTCTGAGCAATTATATTAATTGAAAATGCCATTGTTCGGGAGCAGATTCAGCATTACATACAGCAGGACATGCTGCTGCTTATGCCAGCAAGATAAAAAGGAGCAGGAAGATCACTGTCATCTCTGTGCCATGAGAATATCACAATAATTTTTTTTTCTTTATATTCCCATTAAGCAAAATCAGCAGCAACCTCATCTATTGCTGGATCAAACGTAAGCTTTGTAATCACTGGGCCATGACCAGGCTCGTAACGACTGGCTTCTGGCTTCTACTTCTGGTTTCCAAAATGTTAAAAGGAAAGTTTAACAATAATGAACCATTGCATTTAACTGGTGACATTTGGGGACCAGACTAAATTCTGTAGTGGATGATACCACAGAAGGATTCTGTAGATGAATAAACCAATTACCATAATAAGAGTCGTTCATCTTTAACACTGATATAGCTCTTTGATGTGGTGGTTTCCCTCGTCACACTGGATATCCAGCTGCATGCTACGCCTCATTGCCATATATTTAGGATCTGGTAGCAGAAGAATGTTATCCCCTTTGGCAGGTACAAGCATGAAAGTCATGGAACATAACTTGTGACAACTGATGAGTTGTTTGCTTTTAAAGTATGTTCCTCATCAGGCATTTAAAGAATGTGCTGTGTGGTGACCCATATGCTATGGCACTGGTGGTTGCAGTGATGATATGTGAAGTGGTATGCATGAAATGGGAGACTTCTGCACGTGAAAGAGAGAACAACAGATCAGTGTTGTATACCAATTTCAAATGTAACTTATACATGCGGGTGGAACCTTAAGTGAAGCCTAAAGAAATCTAAATGGGGACTTGGGGTTTGGATGAGGTAATGTCTTATAGTGCAAGCAACTGAGCTTATAGTATTTCTCTACTACTTGATTCACAGTAGAGGCACTCCAGGCCCAGTACTCTAGTTTCCATTCCTGTTTGACTGAAGTACAAGGGATTTCCACTCCAGCTGTTCTACGCAGTCACCTCTGCTGGCACATACACATATGATGCACCAAGAAGATATCCCTTGGGAAAAGTCCTTTTAGAGGAGCTGCACAAGTGCTGTTCAGTCTGGGCCTTTTGGCTTTGTGTCCTTGGTAGTGCAGCTCTCCACATCATCCAGCCCCAGAGTACTACTTTTGTTGCTGTCTGTTAAATTCTGCTCTGCCTCTTTCCTTTTCTTCTTGCAGCACTGGCAGAGGTCGTTAGAGTTCTCTAGCACATTGATACAAATGTTGATGACCAGTGCTAGCCAAGCCATGCCAAAGAGGATCCACAGAGATATCACATTCTTGTACCAGGCTGGATAGGTACGGTCTGGGTTCATCCCTAGAAAAAAAGAAACCAACACACTTAAAGATGGGACCAAAAGTAACTTAACGCTCAAGCAGAAGCACTGGAAAACAAACCTATTTCATGGATACATAAGCAACGGCCCCCAAAATATTACAAATGGTAAATATTACCATAAAGAAGGAAAATAAACTTCCATAAGATCTAATATAAAAATAAATGGGCATGAATGTGGTTAAACTGATATAGTCCTGTTCCAGTGATATTTGTTAAGAATTAGTATACTGTAGTAGGATGGTAGTGCATGCTTGAAATACCCTGTCCCATTGACAGGTGTTTCTACTGGGAAAAGGCTAAGAGGTTTATGCTTACTAGGTGTAGAGAACTTGTTAAGTCCTCTGGGATATAACCAAGCAAGCCTCTTGCAATGGAATGGGATCTACGGCATGAATTGGGCAGTGCTCAGAGGGGAACTGCAGGCACAGCCAAGCCAAGCCAAGCCAAGGGAGAAGGTTTGAGCTGAATGTTATGTTACCTTTGTTTGATTTCTTGCTTACTTAAAATTGTAAGCTGCATTTTTTTTGGGGGGGGGGGGGGGGGGGGGAGGGGGGGGAGGCAGGGCCTGCCTTTACCATCTGTTGCACAGCACCTAGAGTAATAGGGTCCCCATTTGTATTACTGTACAATCAACAAATATATTAAAACCAAACTCCAAAGTTTGGCAGTAACCAATGCATGAAATATCTCTGAAAAGTAGTTTGGATATTTGCTTACAGATTCACACAAACAAGATGAAAAGCACAGAGAAGAGAACAAAGTGTCTGCATTAATGTTTTCACTATCACTGCTTAGCTTTTAGCTTTCATTTTTAATGGGAAGGTTTGTCAGTTTCAGCACCAATGGTGCAAACATGAGTAAAAAGAACCCAAAATGCTAGAATTAAAGACACCAGCAGAGGAAAGCTGTCAGGAACTTTTCACCTGTGACTATATAATTTATAAACGTAGGTATTTAATGTTGAGTGACCCCCATTGGTTTGTAAATTCCCTATTAGTGAAAAGTGCTATCTTGTACATCAGTGGTTCTCAGCCTTTTTAGACTGAAGACACTCTTTATTAGACTCAAAGCACCCTTTTCACTTGTTTTTGATTGCAAGGATATAACAGAGCAATTCTTCTGTTGCAAGGAACTGAGAAAGACCACAACAGCACAGGATATTTTTGATGCTATGGATTCTTATTTGAACTCTCTGGGTTTAGAGAGTGTAGTGACACCCCAATTGATAATCTGTGCTCTAAATGATGAGTGAAACCTGAAGCAAGATGGACCAACTGACTCTGTAGAGAAAAACACTTTCTTCATGCAGGTCACCTGGTTGGTAAGGTGAGGGAAGCCTAATTCACAAGTGTGGGGCCATACTCCTGACCTCTGTAGAATAAAAGCCACAGGATTTCATTCAATTACTTCTATATTGTAACTAAAGTACTAGGCCAATTGCAGCAGGTACCTTACAAAGCTCAGTGGCAGACAAGCATCAGGGTAAACTGAGGGGTATAATATCTGTTTGCCTGTCTCTATCCACTGCTGTCAGACATGGGACTGAAATACATGCACACATAACTGAACTAGTTTTTAACCAACTAGAGTGGGTACTGAGAGGGGTGTAGCCATGGAAGCAGACAGCTTAGTGTGAACTGCAACATCCATCTAAGATGTTGGGTGCATACCCTGGAGTGAGACTGTGCTGAGCTCCCCGCTGTTGCAGTTCCACTGCTACTGCTTCCAGAGCTAATCTGCTGAAAGCTCTCAGGGATGCCTACAACAAACTGCCACCAGGCCTTTGCCTATACTTTTGTCAACAAACCCTACGCCTAAAGGTCCCATCACTGAGGTACCCGAGCACAAAACTAGAGTTATAAAGAAAAGAAAAATCCAGTGTCTGTAATAAAATGTTTTTCTGTTTTTCAAGGAGTATGCATGTATGTGAATGAATGTGCCCGCGTGTGTTTCTATTACCCATTTGTTTTTAATGGGAAAGACTTTATCCAAAAGGTGTGCCCTGTGTTTTAGTATGAATACAGTTAGACTTGGGTTTAGTCCCATTTCCTTTAGCAAGGGGCTCTGGCTGCTGAGAACACTCTGCCCAGTGCCTGGCAGTCTAAAACTAGATGTGTCTTGACCTACATTATTGACTGCAGCTGTCTTGGGTGGTGACAGGTAGAGGTGGTCACAGTCTCTTAATGGCTTTTCAGATTAGGATCATGATGAGGCAGAATGCTTCTGATACTTCTATTCTGCACTGGAATGCACCAACATTTCAGTCTCTGAACACTAACTACTAGCAGCTTGGCATTCTGACTAGGTAGGGTCTTGCAAGGGCACATCTGCACCTCAGCAGCAGCCTATTCCAGCCAGGACAGCACTGAGCATGCCCAAGCCACCCACCCTTCCAAACTCAGAAATTCAGTGTGGAAGATGCTCCACAGTCATCCCCATGCCAGGGCGGAGGTCTCAAGAGCAGCACCAGAGGGAGGCCCTGGAGCAGCCTAACTGGTATGTTTCTGGGTTCACAGAATGGGTGCCAGGACTTGGGGGATGTCACTGTTGTAATGTACAGCTTCCCTAATTCACACTAGTGTCAGAGTAGCTGGAGGTCAAAGTGTTGCTCACCCATCTTGAAATCATCAGCTGCCTCTTCCTGCAATGCAGAAGAGTCACTCTATGCAACCCGGTTATTTCAGTTCTATGACTTGTATGTGAATGATGAAATCCCAGTGACTTACCAATCACGTAATCTCCAAAGCCTATTGTACTGAGGGTGATGAAGGAATAGTAGAATCCTTCTTCATAAGTCCAGCCTTCTATGGCAGAAAACAGTAAAGGCGGTAGCAGAAGGAACAGCAACAAGCCAGTAACCAATGCACAGGTCCTTGTCAACAGGGTGGCTGCCTTCTGGTATGACAGAAAATTATAAAAACACCAGCTATAAGTTTGGAAGGGTGGAACGCACAAAACAGTGAGGGTGAAGTTGTTCTTACAAAGCATGATGCTGGAGTCAACAGAAATATAGAACCTGTCTTGATTGGGCACTGATGCTACAAGATGTGCCTGGCTTGCTTTATTAAGCACTGACTCCAGTGACATCAGCTGAGTTTCCTGGGCCAGGGGCAAAGACTTTTGTCCATGCTAGGTAAAGGTCACTTTATATAGAGACATCACAGACCTGCACAAATTTCAGCCTAAATTAGAGCTGGATATTATCCAGTATCTCTGTGACATCTACAGCTGTTACTTACATGGGAAACTAGTATTAGGAATGTATTTAATGAACTGTTAGCTACTTTTACTGAAGTTTAACAGCAGGTGACAAGAAGTAGCAGCCAGTACCCAATGAAAAGTCAGACTGCCATGGCTCACCAGTGGTCCCTTGACCATATCATGGTTGTCAGAACCTATCACAATAGTTTCCTGTTGCCAAAATTTATAGTTTTCAAAACTCATTAGGGCTGGGACAGTAGCCTCTGCCTGAGAGAAAAGTTCTTTTTCAGTCCAAATATAAGCTGAATTTTTAAGATGTTTGGACATGAAACTTCTGATGTCAATATGAAGGATTCAGTACCTGCATGTCAGGGAGGAATGGCTCCTACATTAGCTGGTAAGCAATAGAAGAGAAATAAATAGCAAAAGAATAGGCAGAATTGGATTTTATTTAGAACAGTACATACTATACTTAATGGTGTAAAATATTAGTTTAATTCTGAATGAAAAATCTAGAAACTAAAACAAAGCACTCAGCTCATGCCCTAGTTTAGGTCAAATGAGTCTAGATCTTTGCAGCTTCACATCTGTCTGTGTCACTGAAGCACAGATTTTGGCACGGTTCAATATGATTTGCAAACCCTCTGCCAATAAGACTCAGGACAGGAAGAGTGGGGTGTGCCACTGCTGAGAAATGATGTTGGCAGAGAAGTAGAAAAAAAAGTGGAAGCAGGTCCAGGTCAGATCTGGAACAGCACGCTTTGTTGGAAGTCAGAACTGCCATGCTAGCAAACCTGAAGAGGAAAGACTGTCCTGTCTTTGTCCTGTCTCAATATCTTGTTATCAGGAGCACTAAATTCACAGCCACTTTCAAGCTTACTCAACTAACGCTACCTGATTATTCTGGAATATAATTCCAGTTAAAGTTAATGACTTTAGGGTCAGGGAGTGTGAAAAGCAACTAAACAGTGGCAGCTTTATTACCATGAAGGAAACCATTCATCAGAATATGATACCTAACTTGGCTGCCATAAACTAAGATTAAGGCATACTAATCAGTGTTTCCCTTATCATTCAGGTAATTAGGTAATTTATCCTTGCTAGCAAGAGCATCTGAAAAACTAGACAATGTCCTCACCTTAATTTATGGCCCCCATGCTTATGGCCACATTGCTTACCTTCCAGTGGAACTTCTCCTGCAGATGCCTGGCACATTTGTGAACGCCAGAGAGCATCAGCTGCCCAATTCGGTTTAGAACAACCAAGTTCAAGGGGATCCCAAAGAGGGCAAAGACGATGCATAAGATTCTAGCAATTGCAGTGGTGGGGCTCAGGTTCCCGTAGCCTGTGGGGAAAGGAACAGAGCGGTAAATCCTGTGCCCCTCCACTTCTATTGTTCCCACTCAACTAGACCTCCATCTTCTACAAGAGAAATGGGAGAAGGTCACTGCTCCAAAGGGACCCTTCTATATATAGCTTTTATTACTACCCATTGTTTATAACATCCTCTCAGAAGCTGGAAAATAAAATTTCTTTCCCTGCCAATTTCTATTTTCCGTTTTCATGTGCCAGTCACTGAATTTCCCTCCCGTATCCACCACCTGAGCCAGAACATGATATAAACATGAAACTTCTGTTTACTTATTTGACTGCCAGCATTATTGATATCAGTGTGGCATTGGGAAGGTTTGTTTGGCCAGTGCCTCTGCAGAACCAGGCAGAGGTGATCAGGATCATAAAAGTGGTATTTTTTTCTTTAGCCTCTGTATAAAAGTGGGCCTTTTTTGTTTTAAAGATATAAAAAAAATTAAATCAGGCTCATGTGGTCTTTGCCTCATATACTATAAAGAAAAAAAAAGGACAACTCACTTTTGCTGCCTTTGCAGGACACATGTAAAAACCATGAAGGAGGGAATAGGGCAGAATTTTCCAAAGCACCTATGTGCTTGAGGAACACAAGTTCCAGCTATGTAAGGCCTGGTCTACAGCTAAAACATTGTCAGAAATTGCCCTCTCTTGGCACACGTTTGCATGTATCCACACAAATATTTGATGGCCACTGGCAAAACCTAACCTGCGTAGGTGAATAAAGCCATCTGCCTGAATAGTGCAAGCCTCTAGCTGACACAGAACTGCTGGCTCAGTGCTACTGTGGTCATGCCCCAGTGATGCAACAAGTGGTGTGCCCAGGGTTCCTATTCATGGTGCACAGTGCCTTCTTCCAAAAGCCTTCTGCCCTGCGAATGTGTGCCACCAGCAGAGCAATGAAGCATACACATGCTCTGACAATACAGATCACAAATGCTCTGATGGCAAAAGTATCTACTGTAGCTATGGCCTAAGCCTAACTAAAAGTCTTTAAAATACTCTGAATGATTTGCTAAATGATTTGCTTTTAAATTACACTGCAATTAACATCAATTGAGACTACAGGTGAGGAACAACTCTTTAAAGAGAGAACTCAAAAATTCCATGGCGGGAATGAGACAGGGGTCCCATGGAAGCAAAATTGTATGCAATTGTATAATGCATTCACATAAGGGGATAAAGTTACGATCATCCAGGCAACCTTAATCGTGATGTTGTTTAACTTTTTCAATGCTTAATAACTTTGCAACCTTTATGTTCTTTTAACATACATATATATTTTAAGTGTAACTGTCAATAGAGCCTTCTGGACAAGATGTAGTCTTCTTGGCCCTGAAGAAAGTGAGAAGTTGAAGGAAAAAAGGCAAGTAATATGAGCAGCTGATAAAGGGGTCAGGTACATGGCTATGTATGGGACCACAGAAAGGGTATGTGCAAGCTAGAATCTGGTTCTTGGTGTACCACTTTCCTGTGGGATTGAGACAGTTTGTTTTTAGATTTTTGCTGTAACATTAAATCCAAGGCATTCCTTAGGTTGGTCTAATCCCAAGAGAAGAGGGCTGGGAGGCATTTATCCAGAGAAGCTGGAACCCATACATGCTGACCTGATGGGTAAATACAGAGTGAGCCAGCCACGAGTTCCTTCTTCTACTCTCTGTTAAAAATGAACAAAGGCTGTGTATTGGCTAACACAGCTCTTCCTTCTTCCTCATAGATTTCTCATCCTAAAACTTACGATTTTCCGTAGCCTGGTGGAAAAGAAATGACAAAGGGAGGAAGAAAGGGCCCTGCTGTTAGGACCATTGTGAGAAACAGGGTAGTCTGCAGGGAAGTTGTATCTATGTCTTCATTCCCAGAGTTGAGGTCTACATTGGCCTTTGGGCCAGTTTGTATAAGGCAAATTTATACCAGTGGACTCACAGCACTGTAATTACCTGATGTAACCCCCTGAGGCAGGTGTGCCACCTTGCACAATGTGGGACTTGGTCCTTAAAGTAGGTTGTATTAGTGCAGTCCCCTCTGAATATTAGGGCAGTGCCTGTACTCAAAGGATTTGTACCAGGTCCAAAAAACCAAAGCAGAGCACAGGATAGGGAAGGCACCCATCCTAAACAAACCTGCTCCTGGCATCTCACATGGACATTCAAGAGAGTTAATCCACATTAAGTGAAGGTCTAAATTTAGAGTGCCTTACTTAAAACACATCCCTGTGTGGATGTTCTCACTGAGAAGTAAAGTTCACTGTAGTTTAATTCTGTTTAGGAGGCACATGCTAAGGCCATTTTACTCAAGACACTTTATTTAACTTGCTTTAAATTCACACCTTCTGGTGACTCGATTAAACTTGTGCATGTCCCTGTGTACATGTGCACTTACACTATTTCCATAAGGGATGCATTAGCAATGAGGGTTCCTCAAGAAGGAATGAATAAAGTGATAAGTGACCCTCCCATCTTCACTATAAAGCCCAGCTGCATTTGGCTGTTTTACACAAATGAACTGAAGTCTAACTGGGTGAAATTCATTCTGCTGAAGAGCAATTTGGTGAAAAAAAAATTTGATTTTTTTCATCCCAAAGCTTTCTGTGAACTGCCTGTGCATTCATCCAGAAGTTTTAACTACAAAAAAAATTAGGGAAATGGTGAGAGGTTAGCTTTTCATAACAATGTCATACTTCTATCCAATAGAGCAGTAGCTACCTGAACACGCATCTCTCAAGAGTGCAGTATCCAGCTTGTTACAGGTCGCAGTCTATAAAGAGGTGGGGAGACTAGTCTCAGCAGCCCCTGCTGCCACAGTTGCACTGAAAAAGAACTGGATCTCAGGTGTCTGGCCTCCTGCTTGAGCTATACAATTACTAGACTATTGAGTATTCTGAGATGAGGCTTCACTTCGTATAAAACAATAAAGTAATGAGAGAGAAAGAGAGATTGAAAGACCTTCTAGCTTGGTTGTTGAGGAACTCTCATGGAAAGTTGGAGATTTGGGTTCAAATTCCCAACGGCAGAGAAGGAAATTGAAGGCAGGTCTCCCATATCCAAGGTGAGTTCTGTAGACACTGTATTATTGGGTAAAAATGAGGCAACGCCTCCTCCTCTGGCAGTTTTATGGAAATTTAGTTTCTCGTTTCCTTTGCTCTTCTTACAAGTACCCAGGCCATTTCATTTCAAGTCAAATGAAATGTTTCAATCCAACACAATTTGGTGGATTTCTTCAATTCTATGCGGATGGGCAGAAATCTCTTCTTTAAAAAAAAAAAAAAAAAAAAATAGAACCCAAAACTTGTTGGCTGAACTGAAAAAATCCACTTTTGCACAGCCTTAATCTGGATCTCACAGGTTCCCGGCAAGTTGTCTAGACAATGGGAAAGATTTTCAAGTGCACAAAGAGCAAGCAAGTATCCAACTCCCAACTCTAGTGGGAATTAGGTCCCTATTGTCTCTTTGTACAGGCCAGCCGCATCATACACATTTAACTTGCGCGAATTCAACTATACATGGGGGGGGGGCTTGAGGCTGCAGCCAGCGCTGCCGCTTACCTGGAGGCCCGGCCACCACCACGCTGCCAGTGGTGACTGCCTCTACCTTCAAAACCTCCCACCGCCACCATGGAGCCGTGCCCCGAGCTG